CCGAGTAGCACGCAGTACTGTCCAGTGTCATCATGAGACTCTGCGTCTAAAAGTAGCGATACTTCATTAAAAATCAGACTTGATTCAATAACTCGAATGTAGGTTTGAGTTAAAGTACGCTCTGTACACTTTTATAAAAGACTGAACTTAATCCTTGTAAAAACACCAACCGTAGATATTGTCAATCTTTGATGTATTTCTGGAACTTAATTAATTAGCATCTGACCATACAAATTTTCTGTATCTCTTCTCTCTATTTTCATGTTGTATTATTAAACCATTTTAACTTTATATTTCCTTTGTCTGAGTATATTTTATCGAAATAGGAGCTAACCCGAGTTGACCCCTTCGCCCTTCTGGTATGATCTCTCATTGCCATGACCCAGTGTACCAGCCATTCATTAGGAAATAAGCCTTCAATTTATGATAACTGAAGCCGGACCTTGTGAATATGTGAAGCTAAATTACCTTTATTTTATTTGGCAACGCTACCTTACACTACCTTTTCGAGACGTCACTCATATTCACTAAAGTAGAATTCGTGCTACTGTTTAACCCTCAGTAACAAAAGGTACATTAACCGAAGGGGTGTTTGGGGGATTGCTTCCTTGCAGAGTTCCTCCTTGCTCCCCAACGGAATTTTGTTACACTGGTGGCCTGCAGTGGGATTGAATAGCTGGTGTACACTGTTTGGCTTTTGGAGATCATGGCAGAAGATGGAGAGATGGAGGATCACGGAAAGTGTGGTAGTCCAACTTACTTCAGAGCTGGATGAAACACAGCAACAACTTGCAGCTGCAGGAAACTAAGGTACCACGTTTCCAGTTTATTCGGAGGAAACGCGCACATATACCAAGGAATTGCATTTGTTGGTGTACAAGGTATTAGATGAGCGTGTTTCACCAAGCCGTATTGCACCAGTAATCGGGGCCTGCTTATCATGTGTAGGGGTCATTCCAAATAAACTACCTGTTCAGTCTACTATTGACAACTGGATTTGGAATGGGGGATTTTATCCCAAAAGCAGTTAGATGATGTTTTTGCTAAGAAACCTGCTACAACCCTCCACACCGATGAGGCTTCAAAATATGGTGAGAAGTATGGGGTGAACACAGCCAGAAAATGTATGTTGTATGCTAGGTCTACGGGACCTAGCTACCAAGTCAGCCAAACACACATTGAATACCTTCAAGGAAATCTTACAAGATATTGATGATGTCAGCAGCCAAGCTAACAATTCAGGAAAAAGATTATTATGCAACATCCATAATACAATGAGTGATCGTACTGCCACAGAAATTAAGTTTAACACCCTTGTTGAAGATGATCAAAAAGAGATCCTCCCATTGGTTGAGGATGACTATCTCATACTGGATGAAGATATCAAGAATGCAGTGGATCGTCTCAACAACTGTGGTCTGCACTCACTGGTGGATATTGCTGAGACAGCACAGAAGACATTAGTGGAAGTAGAGTGTACTTTTTTTCTGGTAATGTCCCTGGAACAGAGAAGCAGTCAGCAAATTTAAGCGAGCCAGGAAATATTCGACTAATTTGAACTGCATGTAACGCTCAAGCTAGAAGAGGTGACCAGAAGAGCGGATGCCATGGGCCATTTTCCACTTTTATTAAACCTTTCCTAATGGAGCACAAGTTGAACAGTCTTCCTTTGTTGCCATTTAAAGAGCATCTTTTTAATACACTTGTTGTAAACGCTGGCTCAATTTAATTTGTTTTCTTGCACCACAGATTACTTCTTTTCCCAACAAATATGTTTCAGCTTCTACCAATCGTCTACTTAAGTCTGTTTTGAGCGATATGCAGACACCCTACTTTCTGGCTAGTTGTAAAGCACTGAGTTGGTTCCCAAGATCATCACCACCCTTTTGTGGAATACCATTGAAAGTGCTGATGTTAGCATCAAAGGGATGAACAAATATTATCTACAGCTGGTGACCTTTTTAAAAGATGCAGCACGTAATGTGAAAGAATTCATGGAAGGCAAAATCCTGTTTGCTGAAGACATCCCTGTGAAAGATGGTCCAGTGACTGATAAGCTGTTCATACCATCCGAGCATGACACTCACTGCCAGGTTATTCTGAGGATCCTGTTGCCGTCTCTAGCCAAACTTCTCAGACGGGAATTCAGGGATTATTTACCTGGGGGCCGATATGAGGAAGTTTCACCAGAGCTGCAGCAGGTTACTCAGAGTGTTGAAAACACAATAAGCAGCCTGAGTGAGTGTTTGCTTAGCTTGACTAGCTTTTGGCTTCAAAACCAAACATCAGCACTATGGCTGCTAAAGCGCATATAATGTTAACCGTGAACAAAACCCAGTCCTGGCTAGAGGGCAAGTGTTCCAGTGAAGCTGCAAATTTGATTGCTGATGTACGCAAATCAGTGGCAAGTTACCGGAAGAAATTCCATGCCCGAACTACCATCATCCATGAAATCAGTGAGGAGAAGTTAGAGGCAGATTACAAAAAACAAGAAGAACTGAAGGCAAAGCGCCTTCTGAATCTTGGAAATTGTATTCTATGGGCTCTGGCAGTCTGGAGATCAAATTGATAGTATGTTACAGACAATAAAATCCAAGTCTGAAAAAAATTGGGCACTGAAATCCCAGCTACACTTCAGAAAGAATGTGCTGCTTCAAGAGGGAAATTCCCATCTTTTGTGTTTTCAAAAAAGAGCCCAGATGGTAAGAGGCTGAATTTGACCGTGGCTGATTGACAGCTAATCTTAAGAAGTTGGTGATTGATTGCTTGCCTTTGCCACCTGCCAGTGGGAATGTGTTTCTTGTTGGAAAACGTGTAACACACCAATTTGATGATAGTACCACTGGGGAATCTAAGTGGCACACTGTGAAAGTAATCTCACAGGTAATATCGGGGCTTAATTCTCTTTGAGCACCAGCAAAAATAGCACTTTACCGTTCATGTCACTAACAGTGTTATTAATTATGATAATTGTACTGTCTAATTGCTGATTAGCAATGCCACTAGATTAACTTTGTGTGTGATGTTACTCTAGTATTTAACCATTCAGCACTTAGCCAAAATTGTGTAATAATCTGTCACATTAATTGCAAAATGTCCACATTTTACACTGTACTTGTCTGTTTGGATGTATTCAAGGATCTGTCGGATGTTGTTGTGTAGTGATGCTTAATATATACAATATTTAAAAAAAACAAAACATTTTTTTAATGATGCTGTTTGATAGTTTTGAGAAATTCTTTGCACTCTGATTAATCATAACCTGAAAGTATTAGTGGTATTCTTTTAGCACATGTTAGCTGATTATTCTTATAATTTAGAATTATGTATTTCATAATACACAAGCACAGTAAAATAACAGCACATGCATAGTATTGTTTTCCAAATTTCAAATAATGAATACTCGAAAGTGTGCTGCCAGAGCAACATTTTTAGTTTAGGATCAAATGTGAGCCATTTTATCCTCAACATGCCATATCAAACAACAATATTGCAATAACACATATTTTCGGCCATATTGTATCAATTAAGCAAAATCATTTCATATTTTAGTTTGCACATATTAATGATCAAATATTATCCATTACTTACTACATGTAGGTACCAGGCTACCATAAATGGTACAACATAACATACGACGACGAGCAGACAGACGACGATCTACCAGTCGTATATACTTACCAATTAATGTGTGACTATAGAAAACAAACCCTCAAGCTAATAGTATAATTTTTTGTTGGTGAGTAGAAATACATTCATGTTCTGTTTTGTGATTTAGCCACATGGGTAGATGTATGTGCGCATGGGTAGTCAACTCACTTGTTTCACTTGGAGGTTGAACTTTAATTGCCTTACTTATGCAAACTATTTGAATTATACAAAAGCATTTCAGTACAACACGTTGTTCTGGACATATTGTGGAACAAACATATATACACACATGTCACATACGCTCAGATAACCGCAAAAATTTTCATTGCAAAATAATGGAGTTAAAAACGAGCTTAAGTTACGCACATGTTGTCTGAACATTTGAGCGGGAAAATTATGGTCAAAAGAATCTTTTCCTCTAAAGTTAGTTTAGAATTCATTGTAGAATGCATGTACTTTAAAAAGAAATATGTCTCATTGACCAAAAATTACATGTGAAATTATGTTATATAATGGCTTAAATCAATTATTAGTTATCCTTTATCAATATTTAATACTGGAAAACGTTCAAAACAAAGAGAAAG